ACACACATGACACCAATGTAATCCTAGTAGCTTCTGATGATATAGATATATTTTGATGCAATGCCATTCGGCCAAGACTAAGAATCGTCAATAAGAGATACAGAGTCGGAGAGACTCACTCTCTCCTGTAAACTAATTATGATAAGCAAAGATATCATGTAAATCACATCTTCTTTACGTTTCCGCAAATAGTCTTCATTATACTTTTCATGAACGAACTAGTTTCAATCACTTAGTTGTTGAAAGGATTCCATATACCGAACATAACCACTTATTATTTTGGCTAAAAATAATATATTAGCCACAACTATTAAGTTCCGGGGAATTATGGTCACAACTATCAAAATACAAATTATTAGCCAAACGTTAACTCTCCGTTAGCAATTCCGTTAGTAATGCTGACTAAGCTTTACAATGCTGAGTTGGCTCCTACGAGGCAGTCACCATATCATATTTTAATTAGAAAAAATAAATTATTAAATAAAATAATTAAGAAAATGAAAAAAAATCTTAAACTTAAAAAACTCTTTCTCTTCCTCCACTCTCTCTCCCTCCCCTACGCTTCCTCCTTCCGACGAGCTCTAAAGAGCTTCTTCCACCCACAAACCCAGACCTTCAATCCTCCTTTTCCAACCAAAATCCCTCCTCTCATGTTCACCTCATCCTCCTCTTCTTCCTCTTCTACCCTACGCCACCTTCAACTCTGTTCCACCACTATCCAACACCACCACTCCCCACCATCGAAGATCTTCAGATCTCCTTCCGATCCAGATGCCCCCATCTCGTCTCTCTCTACCTCAAGCCTCCCACTAATCTTTCTCAATCGTTCCCGAGTTCTAGTGAAATCACCATCACAATCAATGACTAGAACTCAAATGACCTAGCTTCAAAATTGTCGCGAAATCGATGATCCATCCTCTTCCCTGGAGAGAACAAAAAGTTGAGTTCGGTGACGCCGCACCGCCGTCGAAGTCTGAGAACCGAAACCCGAGGCCGACCTCCAACGGGAACCCGACTTCCCCAGCTGCGACGTCTGCTCCCGACCTGAAACGGGTAAAAAAACCTCAGAGCAGCGGCAGCGAGGCCGTAGGCTAGATTGGGGTTCGTGGCTAGGTCATTCTCTGGAGAGCCGCCACCAGATTTACATAGCCGCTGCCATAGGCCAGATTGGGATCCCTCTGTTTGCGACACTTCTTCCTCTTTCCCCTCGTCTCTGTCTCCAATCACAGTTGGGGGTTTCAATTGATGGATTTGGGGTTGGAGGAGGACGGAAGAAGCGGGATTGAGGCGGAGGGATTCAATTGGGAGGAGGAGGGAAGAAGTGACGCGTAGGCGGAGGAGGAGGGAAGAAGGTCGAGAGGTAATGTTGCTGGGGAAGAAGAAGGGAAAAGTTGGGCTTTGACCCTCCATTTTTATTTTTAATTTTGATTTTTTATGTTTGTAAATTAAAAATAAAAATTAATCTGATGTGGCTGTTGACGTGGCCTTTTTTGTTACAAAGTTAATGATATTAACAGATTGTTCGCCATTCATAATTTCATATACGCGCAACAATAGTTATTAATAATAATTTGTATTTTCATAGTTATGGCTAGTGTTAATAGCATTTTGTACCCCTCTACTTTGGTAAATTAACAAACATATCCTTCAACTAAATTTTTTCACAAACATGCCTCTCTAATATTAAATCATAAATAGCTTACCATTCCATCTAATTATCCGTTATTTAACCGTTAAATGGGTTAAGAAATGAACAAATTACCCCTCGTTTACTCTTAATATAAGTTTATTTATTTATTTCCATGATCAATTAATTAGAAAAATAAAAACCCTATACAAATTTAGAAGCACCCGAGAGAGTCAGAGACCATCCGTCTCCCTGAAGCCTTCTCTGGAACCTGCTCCCGCGTCTCCTCGCCGGCGGCGCCTACTCCCCCAGCTCCTCGCCGACGACAAGCAACGGATGGAGACGGAATGATGGGGAAGCTGGCGTCGACGGGGGAGAAGCTGAGTCGAGGTGATCTGGTTGGTGGAGGTGCGGGGGATACGTTGGTGAAAATGGATGAGTCCGGCGAGTTCGACACTAAGCCGAGGAGACCTCTAGCATAAATCAAAATAAAACCCAAAGACAACCCTATGGTCAATTTTATCCGCTTTGACTTGGGGATAAATCCAACCCAAGCAAACAAACATTAATTGGCAGGGGAGGGGAGTGACCTACGTGGGTAGTTGGCGAGGAGTTTGCCGCCGGCGAGTAGTTGAGGGAGTAGGTTCCAGGGGAGGCTTCAGGGAGACGGATGGTCTCTGTCTCTCTGACTCTCGTTTAGGGTTTTTTTCTAAATTTGTTTAGGGTTTTTGTTTTTTCTAATTAATTGATCATAGACATAAATAATAAAATAATTAAAACTAAGATAAGAGTAGATGAGGGATAATTAGGTCATTTCCTAACCCATTTAGCAGTCACTTAACGGATAATTAGATGGAAAGGTAAAATTGTTACGATTTAATATTAAAGGGGTATGTTTGTGCAAAATTTTAGTAGATAGGTACGTTTGTTAATTTATCAAAGTAGAGGGTTACAAAATGCTATTAACCCTTATGGCTAATATTTTTTTTTATCCTATTATTTTTCAAATCCTAGAAAATAGGGTTAATTGCAAGGTTGGTTACTGAGATTACTAAAACGTTCATGTTTAGTCACTAAAAATATTTAATTTCATTCTTGATCACTAAAATTAGTAAAATATTTCAAGTTCGGTCACTCTCCGTCCAACTCCGTTAACTTTGGCTGATGGGGCAGTCAACTCTCAAAGTTGACCGTTAAATGTGTGACGTGGCACTTAAAAATAATAAAAAAAATTAAAATTTTATATTTTAAATATTCCACCAAATTATTATCATCACTAAAAAAATCTCAGAAAAAAAAAATCATCTCTTAAAAAATAAAAATCCTTAGCCACTGGATCTAGCCCGAACCCGTAGCTGTCGAAATAGTGTGCTCCGGCAGTACTTTTCCTGACCGATGGCATCGTGATTTCCCTAGATTTGCCGGTTGTGCTGGGTTACATAGACGCACTTCCGACTTGCCATTGGCCATCAGAAATACGCCGTTGTAGGGTCCGACGACTATAAGCATTCCACGCTCCAGGTACTGAACTTGTGTGATACCTTATCACTGTGACGAAGAGGAGAGAATACCCTAACCGGTGTGTAGCCATCATATCTTACATCAAAGTTTTGGCCGCTCGCACCTTTCTCCTCCCTCTATGAAAAAAGCATAGAGGTCAGAAACCATTTCACAAGCAGAGCCAACAAAGAAAATGGGGGAAAACAGAGAACCCTACCCCTAGGGCTGAATCTCGCAGGCGGAAGAGGAGTCCCTTGGGGAGCCAGAGGGATAGGGCGACGTCACGATCGAAACAGTCGCTGGTGGCGAAGCTTCCGGGGAATAATCTCGTGATGACACAGGTGAAGATATTGAAGCGCGGGGAGTTGCTGGGGAAGAGTGAGGATGAGAATAAGGGGAAGAAGGTGGTGGATTTGGGATTGGGATCGACGAATCGGTTTGGGCCGGAGCTGGAGACAGTTCAGAAGGAGGTTAGGGTGGAGGAGTTTAATAAAGCCGTGGATGTGATGTATGCAGGATTGGCTTTTTTCACCTCGCCGCCTCCGAGTACGCTTCCTGTGCCGACGTTTAATTGTGTGATCAGTGAGAAGGTCAAAGGATCAGAGATGATGATTTGGTAGATGGTGGCGATGATGGTTCGCTTCTTGGTGACCAGTCAGACCTTCAACCATGATGGCGGCGGGTGGAGTCTGGGAGGAGAAAGCGGTTTCGGCGGAGGTAGTAGAAGAATTAGGTTTTTATTTTTAATTTTTTTAGTGATGATAATAATTAGGTGGAAGATTTAAAATATAAAATTTTAATTTTTTATTATTTTTAAGTGCCACGTCACACATTTAACGGTCAACTTTGAGAGTTGACTGCCACATCAGCCAAAGTTAACGGAGTTGGACGGAGAGTGACCGAACTTGAAATGTTTTACTAATTTTAATGATCACGAATGAAATTAAATATTTTTAATGACTAAACATGAACGTTTTTAGTAATCTCAGGCTCAGCGACCAACCTTGCAATTAAGGGCATTGCTATTCGTCGCCCTAAAATACCTTATTCATCGCCCTAAATTTTATCAAAATGACTCAAATATCCTTAGTTTAATATTTATTTTTGAGAACATATAAACACAGACAACTATACATACGCTGTTGCCGTGGTCGCCGGCGGTAACCTTTCTTTCTCCTCCAGCCGCTCTTCCTCACCTCCGCCAACAAACCAGGAATCGAAGCATAAAATTACAATAAAAAACCTAAATCGAAAAAATGGAAGAAAGTCGTCGAATGAGGATGATGATGATCCTGATGCCTTGGATGATATGGATCAAGGAGAGGACTTAACACACATATGATTCTAGTTCAATTTGACAATATTACAAGTGGCAGTCAACTGTAAGCCAACCGCAATTCACCTCTTCTCTCCTTCTCCCTTCTTTCGCCGTTGAAACTCTGGCCGACAAGTATCGAACAAAATCAACTTGGAATCCATTATAATCTCCGGCCGTCAAGTATCGGACAAAATCAACTTGAGATGGGCAGCTGCCGGTGAGAAGAATTCGACAACGGCAACAGCGCCCGGAGGACAGTGAAGCTCGGCGGCAGCTTGACAGGGTAAAGAATTGTTTGTTTGAGGTTTGAGTTAAAAAGAGGGTAAAAGTGTCAATTTGATGTATTTTAGGGCGATAAAATTTAAATTTTAGTGCGACGAATAGCGATTCAGGCAATTAACCCCTAGAAAATATCACAAGAGGTCCATGTACGGAATGCCTAAGTGGGAGCGCCGGGCTTAATTGCTCTGGATGAGTAAAAAAGGCTGGAGTCTGGACCTTACTTAAAGGCCCATTCGCTTTTCAGGCCCAAATCGTTTCGCTTAGAGCAGCCACCTCACCGACGATTCCCGGCGGTCATTCCAACTCCGCCGGTCTCCGCTTCTCGCTTCCCAACCCCTGATTTTGCTCCTGCTTCTTTTTGTGTTTTCTCCCTTGATTTCCTTCAGGAGATCATAATTGATGCTTTCATTTCTTCGAAGATCGTATTTGAATTTCTCCTTTATGAATCCACAGTACTGCTGCTTGTCGAGAAACTTCTCCGCCGCATTACCCCCTTTGCTCCCCGTCCAGCTCCCTTCTCGAATGTATGCTCATTGCCCACCAAACCCTAATTGATGCTTTCATTTCTTCGAAGATCGATGTTAACGCGAGAGTCTTCGTTTTTGTTTTTCGTTTTTTTGCAGGGAAACGCACTTGTGGTATGTAGTTCCTGATGAAGTGAAGAGTGCGCCTCTTCTGAGCAAATACATGGAGCTTTTGCCCCAGTCCGAGAGAGATCATGTTCTCGGCTTCCGCGGAGATCAGCTTCAGAAGAGCGCTTTGCTTGCTCGCACTTTGGTTCGCACAACCATTGCAAGATGTATGGGTTTTTTTATTCCTTCTTAGCCTTTTCCCTTGCTGCAAATTGGAGTATGGTCTTCTTGAATGACGAATTTGTGTAACTAGATCAGGTAGATGGTCATCTTGATCCGAGGTCGTTGAGGTTCAAGAGGAATATCCATGGGAAACCTGAGGTAGAACTGGCTGGCATTGTTCTGGTTTTGTTATGATTGCAGTGTAGCTATTAGAGATCTAAGTTTTGGTTTATGTTGTTGGCTGTTCTCTAGAATAGGTGGAGTGGGAAACTAAGGATGGTTTCTGCCCGCCGCCATTGCAGTTCAACATCTCACACACTTCTTCTTTAGTAGCTTGTGGAGTGACTATAAATTCATTGGTACTTACTTGCCTTGTTCGTTTTATCGAGTGTTGCAATTTGATTGATCTGCTCCTTGTTTTTGCTGTTGTAACCTAACTGAAACGAATGTGTTTGATTCTGTGGCTGTAGATTGGCATCGATGTTGAAGAGAAGCGACGGAGGACCAAGAATAACATCTTAGCTTTTGCAAAGCGGTATTTCACTGCTCATGAGGTTGAACACTTGAATGCCATTCCAGATTCTGAACTCCAGCAACAGGAGTTCATCAAATTATGGACCCTTAAGGTGAGCATGCTGCAAATACAACGATTTCAGGAACAACGGACGTACTATCTGCGTCTTTAGAATTCTGTTGTTTTTGACCTAAGGCTGTGATATTTCTAGCTACATTTCTTACTTTGTTCTTTCTATGATTAATGTCGCTTACAGGAGGCATATGTCAAAGCCTTGGGAAAAGGATTCTCTTCTTCACCCTTCAACACATTCACTATCCGGGTGAATACAGCTGCCCAAGAAAGTTTTTGACTAGTTAAAGCAAGAAAAGAGTTGAAATTGTGCTTACAAAGTACATATCTTGTTAAAGCTGTTTGACTAATGATTCTTCTTGTATATGCCATTGAATCAGGCCTCTTCTGGAATAGCTGTGGAAACTTTGGATAGCCCTCAGAATCTCACAAACAACTGGCAGTTCGCATTGTTGGAGCTGATGGGCTCTCATTATGTTGCTATTTGCTTAGAAAGACAAGAAACTGGTGGAGCTGGAAAAACTCTTCCGATTAAATTAACTGCGAGGAAAACCATACCATTCGTCGAAGACGAGCTTGTTTCTGGAACTAATGCAGTTGTAACCATTGGAGGTTCTGTAACACAGTTCTGATCTATATGATATCATAAATGAAATATTACTGCATCTGGAATGTTGTTATTTCACCAATAGTCTTTGCAAGAACAAACTCCGTTTCTGAAGTGATGAAATCTAGTTGGATCTCTCACTACGAATTCACGACGTGGCAAAATCTTGCTAACCAACTTCATGAACAAGTGACAATCTCCACATATCCTCAGGTTCTTCATCACAACAATCTCTGCTCCTTCCTTCGTGTTCAAGACTCCAAATGCAACAGCCAGTTTCTCACTGTGCACCCCCATCCCACTCAACCCTCGCAGCTGCTCGTCGGCTCTATTCTGGTCAAGTTCCTTCAGTTTGCATTCCAGCTCATCCAAAAACTCGTATATTTGCTTCGATTGAGGATGACTTCTATCCCCTGAAACAAAGAGGTGAACTCTGCCTTTGAATTCAACATAACTGCAGCCTGGGTCCTTTTTTAGCTTTCGTTCTCTCATCATCACTCGAATCCTCAGTATCCCCTCCGAATCCCCAGCATCAGTGTATATGTTCGATAACAGAACATAGTAGCCAATATTTGTTGGTTCAAGCTCTACAACACGTTCAAAAGCCAACTCGGCCAGTTCCACATTTCTGTGAATTTTGCAGGCGCCTAAAAGTGCTCCCCAGACTGCACCATCAGGTTTAGCTTTCATGGTCCTGATGAGCCCGTGAGCTTCATCTAGTCGTCCAGCTCGGCCTAGAAGATCCACGACGCAGGAATAATGCTCTGCACCTGGACTCAGGTGAAACTTCTGCTCCATGGTATCAAGATAATGCAACCCTTTATCTGTTAGACCGGCATGGCTACAGGCAGACAAAACGCTCACAAAAGCTGCTCGATCGGGTATTGTGCCGGCCCTAATCATATCATCGAAGAGGTCAACTGCAACCTCTCCTTGTCCGTGCATCCCATAACCTCCTATGATTGCTGTCCAAGAGACTACAGTTTTGACCGGCATTCTGTCAAAGATTTGCCTGGCTTTCACCAAGTTGCCACACCTGGAGTACATGTTGATCAAAGCATTGTTCAGAAACGGATTAGCTAGAAATCCACAAGCGTGAATTCGCCTTTCCACCTCTTTACCAACCTCTTGTGCACCAAGATTAGCACAAGATGAGAGAACACCGACGAGTGTTACAGGGTCAGGTTGAATCCCGCTTGCTTCCATCTCTCTGTAGAGCTCCAACACATCGTTAGCAAGTCCATTTTGTGCATGACCGTTGATCATCGCGTTCCAGGTGATCAACCCTTTCCCCGGCAATTCATCGAACAGTTTCCTGGCCGTCTTGATTTCTCCACATCTCAAATACATTGAAAGCAAGGAATTCCCAACTGAGAAGTCGAGATTTAGTCCGAACTTCAGACAGCAACCGTGCACGCACATGCCAAGTCCGAAATTCCCCGCCACTCCACAAACCGGAACCAAGCCGAGCAAGGTCACCCCATTGATCTCCACACCAAATTCCCTCATTTCGCAGAACAGCGACACGGTATCCTTCGTTCTGAGATTCAGGGCGTACCCAGCAATCAAAGCATTGTAGCAAACCGTGAGCTTCCTTGACAGGGGATTTTCATCAAACACCTGGCGCGCAACGTCAACAAAATTGCACTTGCAGTACATTGATATCAGAGAGGTCTGAACAAAGGGTTCTAACAAACAACCCGTTCTGATCGCTTGGCAATGGAGCTGTTCTCCGGTGATGGGGAGAGAAAGCACGGCGGATGACTTGAGCGCGAACGGGAAAGTGAATGCGTTCGGGGATGCACCGGAGCGAAGCATTTGGAGGTAGACAGACAGGGCTTCTGAGAAGAGCGACTTGTTTGCTAGCTCCCTTAATCGACTGTTCCATGGTTGAACCCCGCCTCTGGTGGCGGCCGTCGAATTGAGAACGGGAATTCTCGCCGTGACGGTCTGGAGTTGGTGATGAAGCTTGGTCCTGATGGCGCTCATTGCGCGTCCACCAGCGGGAAAACGGACGCATAAGACGCCGTTTCGCTCCCCTTTCTTTGGTTGAACAATGGTACGAACTCCGATCAGAAAATCATCCCGTTATTCACCGGCGGCCAACTAGTCCTCGCTAAATTAGTAAATTCCGTTACTCTACCGTTGGACACGTGGAGGTCTAAAAAATTAACGGCGCAGGATCTAGTAAGTGGAATTCATTCGCTGGGCTGCGGAGTATCCGATCCCAGCTCACCGAAGATAAGAGATGGAAGACGGGGCAAATGACAAACGGATTTCCAGCTGGTAGATAAACTAAACAAATATATATCAGAACTCCCGGCGGATTTCTTCGCCAGCGATGGAGGCCGTACAATTCTCGACCGTTGCCTCCCGCCACTTTCCTTCGAAGTCCTTGCCGAAGAGCTCCAGTAGCTGGTCTAGCTGCAAATGTGCGAGGAATTCTGCTAAAGCAGTCCGTTCTTCATGGAGCGGTTCGAGCAGCGTTGTTTCTCTTTCGTCCAGAAATCCGTTAACTGTAAGTCAAAAAGGATCTTGAACTTGTAACTCTTTCTGATGCTTTATTGCGCGGCGGAAATGTTTGATTTCTGCTAGGGATTTGCTGTGAGCAGAGACAACTGTGGGGTTGGGTGAATAGCAGGAGCGTTGCTTTGAGAAGAGATACGCGTGGCGTGGTGAGAGCAGAAATGTTCGGGCAGTTGACGAGCGGGCTTGAAAATGCCTGGAACAAGCTCAGAGGAGAAGGTAATTCCTTATCTCATATTCCACTGTAACGATCTTCAATTATGGTTTTGCAACTTGGAAGCTACCGGTGTTTATCTCCTACTTGAAGTTTTGAATTGTAATTAGTCATGGCGTTTCAGAGGTTCTGACGAAGGAAAATATAGTGGAGCCTATGAAGGATATTAGGAGAGCTCTTCTGGAAGCAGATGTGAGTTGCTTTCGTATTCATGGCTAGAAATTAGAATGATTTCCTTATGAAACTTCATATACAGTATTAAGGTTTGCTATATTTGTGGTAGGTAAGCCTTCCAGTTGTTAGAAGGTTTGTTCAATCAGTTAGTGAGGAAGCCGTTGGGGTAGGCCTGATACGAGGAGTGAAGCCTGATCAGCAATTGGTCAAGGTATGAATTTCAATTGTCTAATGCAATTATAGTGGTAAGAAAGTGACGACTTTGAGTCTTTCCTCAGCTTTTCATGTCATATAAGAATTAGGTTTCGTTTGAAGCATTCAATTGATATGCTTTTAGGTTGTCAAGTTCACTCACAAATTGGTGATTATAAGCTTCACTGAAGGGTTTGTTGGATGATATAACTTATGGTTACTGCAGATTGTACGTGATGAACTTGTGAAATTAATGGGAGGAGAGGTCTCAGAACTAGTTTTTGCAAAATCTAGCCCTACAGTCATATTATTGGCTGGTCTACAAGGAGTTGGCAAGACGACAGTATGTGCAAAGCTGGCAAACTATCTTAAGAAACAGGTAGGTGGTTGCAGAGATGTTCTTTCTGTTCTCTGTCACATTGGTAAAACTTTCAGCGGAATCTGTGTTCCTAGCTTAGAAAACAACAATAGCAATCCGCATCATCTCATTAGTTCTCGCCTGTTATGGTTGGGACAGGGAAAGAGTTGCATGCTTGTTGCTGGAGATGTGTACAGACCTGCTGCTATTGAACAACTTATCATTTTAGGTGAACAGGTAGCATGTTCCCTACTTCTGTGAAGTATCAGTTGAATCCAGTTTATATTATAAACCTTTCTGTGTATCGTTTACTCTAACAATAAACAGCAAATATATGCCACTAGATATGCAAAACGTTCGTTTCTTAGCCATGAAACTTTTTTCTCATTTTATAGTCTTCTGCAGGTGGGTGTTCCTGTTTATACAGAGGGGGCGGATGTCAAGCCTGCTGAAATAGCTAGGAAAGGCTTAGTGGAGGCTAAAAAACAAAATGTAGATGTTTTGATAGTTGATACTGCTGGAAGGCTTCAGGTGAATATGCAAATCACAATAACCATGCAGTTCTTGGAAAGTTTCATGGCTTTGTCTTCCAGCTAAATAATTACTTGCTTAATTGTTTACAGATAGACAAAGGGATGATGGATGAATTGAAAGACGTGAAGAAAGTCCTGAGCCCAACTGAGATTTTGCTTGTTGTTGATGCTATGACAGGCCAAGAAGCTGCAGGTTTCCCCCTATTATTTTGCACAATCCAATAATTTCAAAGCAAGTGCTTGAATTGAAATTTATATAAAAGTCCCACATGCACACACACATAGATGTCAGTCTAGCATCTAAGCTAGACCCTCTTGTGCTGTTTGTTCATGAATAGAGTGAAACTTGAGGGTTCAGATGGGACAGTGAGGTAAATGTGTTGCTTGGTTTTCTTTGAAGATCAATCGGATCTTAATATTTACAATGAAATATTCTATGCCCTTCTGATCCTATGAATTGTTGCTTTTATTAACTACATATCTTCCCAAAATTTGATGAATTTGCTCGATGAGAGACATCCTCGAAGAAAGGAATATCATCTAAGCATTATCTCATTACACTATTGCAGCACTGGTGACTACTTTCAATGTTGAAATTGGAATCACGGGTGCCATTTTGACAAAGCTAGATGGAGATTCCAGAGGTGGGGCTGCTCTGAGTGTTAAAGAGGTCAGTTTTAGTTATCATTAGAATCGTTCCTAGTACTGTATACCTTTTAGAAGCCTCTTCCTGATTAAGATTTTCCACCAATCCCTTTATAGTGAATGTTGCAGTTACATCATAGGCTTTGGATTGTTCTAGATAGACAGCAACTCATATTTAGTTCCCTGCACCTGGAATTCTGTTCTGAAATTGGTTAGGACTTAAACAGTCATGGCTGTTTTTTCCAAATCTGTACAACTGTTCTCCTACTGGTGTAACAATGATATAAGCAATATTAGTTTTTCATGTTTCAAATAGGATAGCATATGTTAGTTATGATATGTCTGGTGGCTCTATGAAAGCTCAAGCTTTATTTAAGTCACTTATCATTTGCCATTTCATTTGCTTTCCTATAAACAAATTGAAATATAAAAAAAGGACTGTGGAATGAAACTTGTATATTGTCCAATGTCTAAAAGTTGAGGGGGGAACCCGTGACAGGTATCAGGAAAGCCAATCAAACTTGTAGGTCGAGGAGAGAGAATGGATGACCTGGAACCTTTCTACCCAGATCGTATGGCTGGACGTATTTTAGGAATGGGAGACGTTCTCTCATTTGTGGAGAAAGCACAAGAAGTAGTAAGTGGCTGGCAAACTCCAGGCTATTCATTCATCTGGAAAAAAAACATGACTTGATTTGGAGATTTTGCTTCGTTCACCCTTGATATCTAGATGCGCCAAGAAGATGCCGAAGACCTTCAAAAGAAGATAATGAGCACAACATTCGATTTCAATGATTTCCTGAAGCAAACTCGTGCAGTCGCACGCATGGGTTCCATGACTCGTGTCCTTGGCATGATCCCAGGGATGGGAAAGGTATATGCGGGAACCCGTTTCAGGTTCTACAGTTACTTTATTGCCGTTGAGAAGTATGCAGCTGGTGTGCTTCAAGTGTACTAGTTCTTTTGCTGACACTAGAGGCATCAAATGGCTAATCGTATATTCACAATCAAACAGGTAACTCCTGTTCAAATTCGAGAAGCAGAGAAAAGCTTAAAGATCGTGGAAGCGATGATTGAAGCAATGACTCCAGGTCCCTTTGGCTTTCTCCTTTCTGCTTTGGGAAAGTTGATACTTATCCATAGTTCTTTCAGCCAGCCCATGCTTCCCCTCTGAAAACGAGCCTTAATAATTTGCAGAGGAAAGAGAGAAGCCTGAGTTGTTGGCAGAGTCATCAGTTAGGAGGAAAAGGATTGCACAAGCGTCTGGGAAAACAGAGCAGCAGGTATGCACTGTGAACAGTAGACGAGAACTGTTATAGGCTGCTAATCTTGTTACCTGTTTATTGTTATAACGGCTGGTTGTGCTTTGTCTTTGTGTAATGAATAATAGGTGAGCCAACTTGTTGCCCAACTTTTCCAAATGCGAGTTCGGATGAAGAATATGATGGGTGCAATGGAAGGTGAATCTATTCCTGCTCTGAGCAATCTTGAAGATTCCCTGAAGGCTGTACAGAAGGTACTTTATCTTCCCAACTTCCTATTAACTTCCTCTTAACTTTTATTTTGGATGAATGACGTTTAGGAATAGCAGTGATGAGTAAACACAAATCCTGGCTAGGTGAAGGCTTGCTAATCAATCTAACGCGAATACTTTTGTTGTGCCTAAGGCTCCTCCTCGTACCGCAAGAAGGAAGAGAATATCAGAATCCAAGAAGCAGTCATTATCTTCGAGGCCCAGTCCCCGTGGTTTCGGTTCAAGCAATTAGGATCTGTCCACTCATTAAAAGATAGAAGTCCCATATCCTGCAACAATCACATTTTTTTTTAAGGGTGATATATATATTTTATTAAACGAGCAAACTAAGAGAAGAAAAGGGAAATTACAAAGGGTCCAAACAATCGTGAGAGGCAATCTCTCACCAAAGACCCTGGGATGCCACAGAGGCAAAGCCAGTGGCCACTATCCTTTTGAGGTAAGGTAACAAGCGAAGAGCAAAAGCAATGCAACACAACTCAACTCAGCGAAGCAGTGAATTAACTTCTTTCCCGTCCGAATTTGCTAGCTTGTTCTGGGCGGGAGGAGTTTAGCTTTCATTCCACGAAGCCATTGTGCAGCAATCTGTTGATTGACCTTCTTTGTGGCAGTAAGCCATCCGTAGATAGCGAATCCGATTCTGTGGGCTAGCTATTTGTTCGTCGCTTCTTCTTCCTCCTTGAAGATCAGCGCTTTCTTTCCAGCCACATTCTCTAGCAAAAGGTGTGTAAAAACACTTTTGAACACCACTGGGATGGAGCATTTGGTTGCCCTTGGCACCATAGCTAAATTCTGTTCGAGATGTCTACAGTCGTGCTACCATACCCTTCCATCTTGACAAAGTGTTTTGGTGTGGTCCAGATCGATTTGGAGAGCTTGCAGTCAATGAATAAGTGGTTGACCGATTCTTCATCCTCCTTGCAGAATGCGCACCTGTTGAGTAGACTCACTCCTTTCCTTTTCAGGTTGTCTAGAGTATCTTCTTGTGATAAACCATCCACAGGAAGATGCATACTTTGCTGGGAACGAGGTGTTGCCAAACCACTTTAGTTGGGAAGTTTTCGTCACCTGGTAGTCTGGAAGTTGCCAGTAGGTCATATGTCGAATGAACGCCGAATCCCACTGTCGGATCAGGAAGCCACACTAGTCTCTCCGGCCTTGCAAAAAACTTAGAAAAAGGCTGGTTTCCAAGTAATTCAAAAAGTCTCACCCTCTCACTCTCCGTCCCACCCCGAAGTGTAAATTTTAGGAGAATATCCCACTGTAAGACATCACTCTCAAGGTTCAGGTAATCAACCACTTTGGAACTCGCCGATTCAGCGGCAACCAATATTCTCGGAAAGTCATATGCTAGGTGAGTCCCGTTGACCCAAGAATCAAACCAGAACGAGGTCGGTCGAGTGCCCGCGCCCCCGTTCGATTTGAGTCCATTTCCAGAAGGGATCCTTCAGCTTCATGATCTGCTGCCAAATACTAAAACCCAAACTCCTATGAGTTCCCCCTTTTGTACCATTCTGAAATCGGGTTGGGGTATTGGATCGAGACAATTTCCCTCCACCAGCTTCCCCTCTCGATCGAAAATCTACATTGCCATTTGAAAAGAAGTTCCTGATTATGAAGTTCTAAGTCATGGATTCCAAGTCCACCTCTGCATCTTGCGGTTTTGCAAAAGTTCCAGGAAACCAGATGGCGTCTTTCTATATCTTGCCTTGCCTGGATTGTACTCCATGATGAAATCGAACTCGGCCAGAAAATCTTGCCACCTCGCTTGCTTAGGGGTGAGCTTCTTCTGCATGAGGAAGTAGCTTGTTGCCACGTTGCCTGTCTTCACTACGAACTTCGATCCCAACAAGTAGTGCCTCCATGTGCTCAAGCAATGCACCACGGGCGTCATCTCCTTCTCTTGGACGGTGTATCGCCTCTCCGTCTCGTTGAGCTTCCGACTCTCGAAGGCAATGGGATGCCCATCTTGCATCAAAACACCATCAATCGCGAAGTCGGATGCATCGGTCTGCACTTGGTAGGCCAACGTCGGGTTGGGGAGCACGGGCTCCTTCATCACCGCAGCCTTCAAGGCCTTGAATGCTTCTTGGCACCTTTCCGACCGATCCCAAGCCTTGTTCTTCTTCAAAAAATCCGTCAAGGGTGCTGCAATGTTGGAGTAGCCCTTGATAAACCTCCGATAGTAATTCGCAAGGCTGAGGAATGACCGCAACTCTGGCACCTTCGTAGGCGGCTCCCACTCTTGGATTGCCTCCACCTTCGCCCCATCCATCTTCAACTTGCCTCCACCAATGATGTGCCCCAAGAATGGTACCTCCGTGGCGGCAAATGTTCACTTCTCCCTCTTGACGTACAACTCGTAGTCGCGAAGGACTTGGAAGACTTGGCGTAGGTGCTCGGCATGCTCATCGAGTGTTTTGCTATATACTACGAGGTCATCCAAGTAAACCACGATAAACCGGTCCAAGAATGGCTCGAACACTTGATTCATCAAAGTGCAAAACGTGGCTGGTGCGTTGGTGAGAGCGAATGGCATCACAAGAAACTCATAAGAGCCATACCTCATCACACAAGTTGTATTTGGCTCGTCGCCCTCTGCTATCCTCACTTGATAGTAGCCCGAGTGAAGATCTAGCTTGGTGAACCACATCGCATATCCAAGCTGGTCGAACAAGTCGGCAATGTTGGGAATCTGCCACTTGTTCTTCATCGTCAACTTGTTGATGGCTCTATAGTCGATGCACATGCGCAACAACCCCTCCTTCTTCTTTTAGAATAGCAACCGTGCTCCAAAAGGTGACTTTGATGGCCACATGTAGCCTGCATCCCCCAAGTCCTTGAGCTGCTTCCGCAACTCTTTAACTCCGGTGGCGCCATATGCGGTATGTTGCTCGCGAATGGGGCTTCGCTCCTGGCTCCAACTCAATCTTGTGGTCCACCTGCCTTGGGCTCTTCATCTTGAGCTTCAATGGCCACCAATCTCGCCTTCCTTGGGCAATCTCGCACTCGATGTGGTCCATCGCAAAGGAATCAAGATACGGGTTTTGGTTCGTACTTACCCCTTTGCTTGAACCACCTTGTTATTGTTGAGTGCGAGTGCCCTCCTTGAAAGGCTTCTGCTGTTCTTCGCCCTTGTTAGGCTTTGAACTCTTGTCCTTGGTGCTGCTCTCTTGCCTTTTGTACTCAACAAAAGACTCCGCCGTGGCCATGGCAGTTGCAAGGTCTTGCACTCCTCGACGTTGCATCTCCATCTTGGCCCATGATTGCAGCCCATCAAGAAAGCCGTGCATGGCCTCCTTGTCCGTGATGTCCGGGATCTCTAGAAGCAGCTCCGAGAATTCTTTCACATATTCTCGAACTCCACCCCTCTGGGTGATTCTTCTCAACTTCGAACGAGCTTCAAACTCCACGTTCTCCAGATAGAACTGCTTCTTGATTTCTCTCTTGAAATCTTCCCAAGTTACCATCACACACGTACCTCTTTCAACGTCCACTTCACGTCGCCTCCACCACACCATTGCAACATCGACCAAGTAAAGTGGAGCGGTACGAAGTTTTACCTCATCCTCTTGGATGTCGGACGCCTTGAAATACTACTCAAGACTCCAAATGAAGTTCTCTAACTCCCTCGCGTTCCTTGAACCTCCAAAGTTCTTCGGTCTTGGAACATCAACACGTGGGACGGATTGCACCGGGGCTGGTTCGCTAGCCATGGCTCTCTCCACGAGAGTGACTTCACTCTCTGCAATCCCTCCTTCACGCCGACCAGCTCAGTCTGGACATGCTCTTTCACAACTTCAATGGCGTTGTTCATGGACTCAGAGATGGTGTTGGTGATGAGAGCCACAAGCTCTTCTCGCAGCCCATCATGCCCGATCTCCAAACTCGACAAACGAGCATTCATCCCTCGAACATCGCTTTGGATTTGGGCAAAGTTCGCTCCCAAATCCTCGATGGCGGTGACATCTTCGGAAAGCTTCACCTCCATTCTAGAGACTCACTTCTCCAGAGAATTGAGCGGATCACGAGTGCTCGATGTACCTTTTGGCCTCGAGCCCGGGGTGGGATATCTTCTACGTTACTTCTCAGCCTCGGTAAAGACGCTATTTGATCCCGACATTTTGGTGAGGTTCTTCCTTTTCGTCTGGCTATTGCTTCTTCTTTGCTAGCACAAAGCCGAAACTAGGCTCTGATACCACTTGTCACGACCTTACTCTCGATCGTGCGACCCTAGCTCTCAATTCCGTTAGAGCGCTAGGCAGCCTTCTCTCAAACTCATAAGCAAGCAAAGAAACAAAGAACAAAGACAAAGGAAGTGTGAGAACTCTCTAGTGTGTAATACTCTAAAAATGATGGAATGAGTACCAATGAGGGAGATGGATCCTTATATAGGCCTCTCCAGTCTTCACATACAATGCATCAATGCCCCTCATCACTACCCCACATCAATACACCCATAAAGTCCCCCCCCATAATGCACCCTATAGATGTCACCCATTATGTGACTCATAAGTGCACCATTAAGCTCTCTTAAGGTGGAGAATCCTAAGAGCATCTCTATGCTACTAGTCTTCCATACACGCCACATGTGCAGCCGCCATGTTGTCACTTTGTTGGTGCCATGTCATCTGCCACATGTGACAAAATCCCGCGGTAGTTTCTCCAACGTTTTCGTCACGCTTTTGGGAGCTAGGAAGAGGGAGCACATAAATGTACACTGGCTCGCTAGTACTGCATTTATTAGTACGACTCTGCCCCCTACTGAGAGCAATTTCCCTTTCCAGCTCTCTAGCTTTGTCTGCGTTCTTGTGATGACCTTATTCCAAAGATTTGAGGAAGCTAACTGAGCTCCCAGCGGCATTCCAAGATAGATTGTAGGTAGGAATCCCCAATCGCACCCAAAAAATTCAGCAAGCCTATCTATATTATCGACTTCTCCGACTGGGAAGATTTTGGATTTGTCAAGGTTGATTTTCAAACCGATAATCCCCTGAAAGCATACAAGAGCAGCCAATACACTTCGGACCTGCGATTCACTTGCATCGCAGAATATAATCGCATCGTCAGCGTATATCACATGTGAGACTTCCCCCTGCCGACTATCTTCATCAACATGAAATCGAGTGATATAACCCGCTCTTTTGATTTCGCATAAGATGAAGGAGAGCACATCCATTCCAGTATTGAACAAGAAGGGCGACAAGGGGTCACCTTGCTTGAGTTCCCTATTCATCCCAAAGAAGCATGTGGAGTCACCATTAACGAGGACAGATAGCTTCATGGAGGAGACTAGGCCTTTAAGCCATTTGATGAATCTCGCCTGCAATCCTACACAGTTCAAAGCTTTGAAAATGTTGTCATAGTAGATTGTCTCAAACGCCTTTTCAATATCAACCTTAATGACAATTCTAGGCTTCCCACTTTTCCTCCGGCTGTCGATTACTTCGTTTGCCATTAAGCAAGATTCCTGGATCACTTTCCCTCTTTTACCTGCGAATTGAAATCCTGAGATAATAGCTTGAATGAAAGGTTGGATCCTGTTAAAGATTAACTTCAAGATGATTTTGTTAAGGCTGCCCACCAAGCTAATTGGCTGAAAATTAGTCAGCGATTCGGCTGCTTCCTTCTTAGGGATAAGACAGATGAAAGTGTGAGCAATTGATTGTGGAAGCGTTCCCTCGAGGTAGAAATCATCGATCAACTTCAACAAATCGCTCTTAATGACATTCCAGGCTTTCTTGAAAAATTCTAGAGTGTATCCATCGGGTCTCAGGGCCTTGTTTCCATTGCATTGGCAAATGGCCTTCTAAACTTCTACTTCAGAGAAAGGTTTTATAAGCTCTTCGCTTTCAATCGAGGTAATCAAACCACTAGGTGTGTAGTTGATCGGGAAGGACCTGG